TCTTTCCCTGGCCTTCTCACATGTCTCCATCCCTGAATTGCACTTGTCAGCCTCCTTCTGATACTGTGATGCCATTTTCTTAGCCTCCAACAATTTTGTGTCAGCAATTCTTTGTTTTTCCTCAGCTTCAGCTTCCTTTTGCTTTAATTCTTCGGCTAAAAGATCTGTGAAACTCTTCCCCGCCTCTTCACTCACCTCTGGGTCTTGCCTCATGCAATCTACAACATATGCTACATGAAATCTTAAATTGTCCACGGACGAAAGGTGGTAGAATTTTAATTCATTAATTACTATATCAGGCTTTAAGCATGCATTTGTTTTGAAAGTATTATGTCTGACTAATAATCATCATTTTACATTTTTTATAGCATGGACATAATTAAATATAACACATTATTATGTACTTGAAATGCCTACCTTTTTAACCCACAATGCCACTGGTCACATTTTTTTTAGAAAAGAAAAAAATATTGCCTTCTGAGTAGACAATGCTAATATTTGGCCACCATTAGGCTCTTGGGTGGCATCTGTGTTTTGGACTAGTGTTTGCTTTTAACATTAGAGAAGTGTTTTGATTTGGTATGACTAATAGTGTGGACTTATATTTGGGTTGAATCATTTGATATAAAAATAACTAGCTATGAAGTCTTGAGGAACTAAAAATATTTTCTTTTCTCATTTTTTGTAGCCCATTAATTAAAAACATCAGAAAAAAAAAACTGAAAGCTAAGGAAGAAAGTATTATTTTTTAATCACATGTCACTTATTAATGAGAAGGACAAAAAACATGAGGCAGATGATTTTAATTCCAATTCTTAGTCTTTCCAAATTTATATATGACTTCTTTTCCTTCTACTTCCTCCAACGTGATACTTTTTTCTTAATGTTACACACTATCATTCAAAAAGTGGGAGCATTAGATATATGCAGACTTATCTGGTAAGCAATGAGACAATTTTCACAATTAGAACTTGTGACTACCTTAAACAATTGTGCCAAAGCTCTCTATCTAAAATCTAAATTAGTGTGAAAGATTACTTGATGTAAATAAAGTCTTACACTGTTTTTATTTATTTATTCAGAAAAGGTACGATTTAGGCTTAACCCCAGAATGCATCACCCTATGTGAGATAACTTTGATACTGAAACCAAGAGTATAATCATGACCTCGTACCTGTTGCTTTACTCTAGGGTACTAAAGGGGGGAAAACTAACCTATAATGGAACTATTGGTCAATCCTGCAGAAACAAGCAGAGACACCACGTTAGTAATCAGCAATCAATGTCAGAGCACAATAAACAACATCTACAAAGACCCTATCCAGTTTCCTGTTTTTCATTGCATGGCCACAGATTCTGTTGTAAAGTTCACTATTTGATTGGCCAATCCATTAATTGTTGATACTATTAGGTCTTACAAGCCATGTTTAGCAGAATACTGTAGAGTAAATAACGCTAACAATTTGAGCACGTGGTGTTTTAAATTTCACATTGTAAAGGTAATATATATATATATATATATATATATATATAT